CTCCCTTCCCCACCGGCTTTCTGCTCAGCCGCCCAGCCGGGAGCCGGCTGTTGACCACGCGATCGAGCTGCTGACCATTTACTTGCCCCATACTTCTGCAGCCCTGGGCGCGCCCGACGCAGACCCCAGGGAAATCGGAGACAGAGCTGGAAGCCCGGCCCGAATCATCTGCCTTCTGTCTCCAAGAACCTCAGAGCTGAGATGAGCCGTGGGGAGGTCGGTTTGGGTCCCCTGACCCCTCTTTTCCGGCTGTTCCCAAGTTTTTCAAAACTGAAATCCATCATAATTACAATGTGCCACTTGCCAAACCCCAGCAACTCGTGCAATATTAACAGTGGTCATGACCCCCGCCCCAACTTACAAATATCCCTGGACATGGGGAGGCTGCCTTTTCCACTTTTATCTCAAGTAATTTTTTAAAAGTATTTGCCCTATCTGCCAGCTTTTCCTTTCCTCAATAAAAAAAGACAAATGAAATTAGAAATACTGTTCTTGGGCACTTTTGCCAGTTAATTAGAAAATGACTCAGGTCTCCTGCGGTGGGGGGTAGGCACTAAGATTAATAAGCAGAGACAAATGTTTGATTTTCATGCCACAGGGGCCAAACACTAAAATATTATGATCTCAAAGTGAGTCTGATTGCTTCAATCTACAAAATTTCTACAGACGGTTGATATTTTATAGATTCAGAAAATTACTAAGATTGTTCCAATGGTAAATAAAAGCATTTCCTATTTTCCTACACTAAAATTTCAATTCATGCAATCTGTTTAAATTGTATTTGTCATTTTGCTATTTGCTTAGTTTTCTGAAGTTCACAATTAACTTAAACCTACTAATTAGAAAAAAAGTCTTTATACTAAATGGTTGCAATCTCTATTACTTCCCCTTGAATCAGTTAAATATGAGCGAATTATCTAAAATGAGATATGTATGTATTATGTAATTTTAAGTAGACTTTTAAAGAAGATCTCCTGTTTAGAGTTATTATGTTTGAATGTTACAATCTGGCTTTCATTGAGGAGCATTTCTGAATCAATTTTTGAAGTAAATATTCAAATAGTTTTATTTGAAGATTGTGTGTACTAGCGAGACTTTCTATTCTTTCCCTTGCCCAAGAAGTTTACAGCTTGTGTATACCATCTACTTTTGCAAAGATATTTAAATGTGACTTTGGCACACAAAAATCCTTAATTCCATCAATATTAATTTACCCTGCAAAACAAGTCTCCTTCCTCATCAAGAAATGAGTTTAAAAGGAACTACCATCCTACATAACTCGAGTTCAAAGTTGTCATGGGGATACTGCAACTTACAACACATCACAAAGATTTATTCTTCTCCACCCTAAAAGCCACTATTGACTACGGTAATCAGCAAAATGCTCAGGACTTCAAGGACATTGAAGTTAAACAAGGTATTTGTCTTTGTTGTTGACTTTAAAATGTTACCTATCAGAGCCCCTCTCCATGAAGAAGTGGGACATTCCCTGGAGAACCCAGCCCCATGTCTGGCCTCCTTCTCCCAGGCTGGAAACAATAAAGACTCCCAGGAGAAGACAGTGTGGATGTCCTAGGTCAATCTCTTTAGTCAGCTGAAAACTCAACGACAAAAATTAAAGTCCACTTCGGAGAAATAAAATTTAGGAAGTTGGTTTATTTTTAATTAAGTAAAATCTACAGCTCTCATTTCCCTCCACTTTTTCCCACTAAAATAAGAAAAATGCTACTTTCTATAAACCACAAAATCTGATTGTGATGGAAGCTCATTCACAGGTTGCCCCTATTCATCCTCTCTCTCCTAACTCGGCTGCTTTGGGTGCCTCTAGGGAGTGAAAGGCTCAGGGGAGAAGGGCACCGCCAGTGAATGTCATCCAAGGACCCAGATTATAGAACCTGATTCCGCAGGAGTTTGGGAGCGCACTGGACCCGGGGACAGAGCTCATCCTACGACGACTCCCCACCACCCACCACCACTACCAGCACCAGAGAGAAGTGAATGGAGCAGGTTCTCGGAGGCCGTCCGCACTGTGCAGGTTGAGAAAGCTCAGGGATCAGGTTTTAGCCCTGCTGTTTGCTCAGATCAATTAGAGTGCCTCCCAAAATGGTTTATTTAAAAAAAAAAATCAAAGTGGAGAAGCAGACAATCAGTTAGGAAGCCAGGAAGAGTGGGGCTGGGGGTGGAGGTCTCTCCAGCATGAGAACACCTTGAGGATAAGCAGAGTTAGGGTCATTGCCTCCCCACCCCAGACCCCAGACTGACTTATTCTCAACACCTTCCTGCCTTCTTAAAAGACTCCATGTAAAAGCTGGGTGTTCCCAAACCCCTTTCCTTTTTTCTTTTTTTTTTAAACATACTCTGGGTCTATAGAAGATTTTTCTAACTTTGCAGTGTCCTACCTAGAAAGTGAAAAAATTAGTGAAAGGATAGGCTAAGTTTAAAGTGAAAAACTTGACTTGTCTGCAATTGCACCCTCCTGCCTCTATAAGGATTTTCCTCACGAAGTCAATGGCTTTAAATCTCCAAAGACTCAAAGATTATGACTTTTGGACTGTTTATCTGTCCTCTGAAATGCTGGCAGACAAGGGCAAAGCAGTATGGAGATCACGCTAAGGTGCGTCCCAAAGCAGTCATAGCTGCCCCCTACCCAATTCATACAGCTTTTCAGATTCCCTGCTGGATTCCTGACAAAAGCCTCACACCCTAACCACCACCCCCTTCCCATCCTTTGAAGATTCAACATCTCGTCTCTCTGCTCCCAGGAGCCAGACGCGGGTCCCTATGCAGCAGGAAAGGTGACAGTGTTCTGCTCTCTCCAAACCTCAACAGGGCTCCCACCCACTGCCTCTACATAGACCGTAAAAAGACGGTCTCCAGGGCCAGCTTTACAGGGGAGAGGAGAGGAAGCCCAATGTTACTGAGAGAGGGTGGTCCAAATCCGATCTTTAAGGCCACTTACACTCAGCTTGTCTCTGAACACAGGCTGGCAATGCCTCACTTGATGCTGACTAATCAGGGACCCTAAGAGACTTGCTATCCCTAAATGAAGGGCTATGAAAATCCCCACCCTGGGGTGTGAGAGCACCAGGTAGGATCATTTGGGCTGATGTGCCTCCTTCATCTTTGCCACCTTTGTGACTCCCGCGGTTCCCCTCAAACAATGGGCAAAATAACCCCCAAAATAAATCAACTAAAAAACATTTTTTTGGTCTTAGGAGGCTGTCAGGTTTTATCAAACAGATGAATACAAAGAAGAGAGACCTGTGAAACCACCAAGGACCCAGAATGCTGCGGACCAGGAAAGAAGCCAACGTGCCTTTTTCAGGCCAGACAACAATAGTTCACACCCTCCCTGCTTGAGCAGGACACTTTTCAAGACGCGGCATTTCCAGGTATTTTGACAATTGTGTTTTCACAGTTCGCTCCAAACTGCCCCCGGCCACTGAAATGGAAACCATGAATGGGACTGGAAACTGAAAAATCGTTGGGCTGAACTCGCAAGACTAGCTGTGGGTGCTCCAAGACCCCTGGTCCCAGCCTGGCAGGCGCAGGCGGGAGCAGCACCCCCAGACACACGCGGCTCGCTGATGCCAAGCAAAAGGGCCCCTCCACCAGCTTTCCCCCCGGACAGTCACAAGGCTGACCTCTCTTCTTTCCCACTCATTGAGGGGCAGGTAGATCCCAACTAGGTCCTTTTCCATTGTAGAGCTCTTTTCAACCTTCTCCTAGAGGAAAGCAAACAGCTTCCGAGAGTTGAACTGGGTGAGGCTGTGTGTGAATCTGAGGAGAGGGTGAATCAAATGCCCAACACTCTCCTAAAGTTACCCCCCCAAATGGAGTCTCACTCTTTCAACCCACACACACTAGGGTCTGCTACAGGGCTCAGGCCCTGTCAGTTCCCTCCTGGGCTCTTCTGTCCCCAGTTGCCCACCCCAGTCACTATTCATCAAATCGCTGGGCCTCCTCCCAGGCACTGAGGTCTATCTGCGCATCTGTCTCTCCCGCGGAAAGGCACCGAGACAGTCCGCAAAACAGAAGCACCACACCAACACTGCCAGGCTCTGGATCACCCTGCTCAGGTCTGCAGATCCTGCCTAGGGCCAGGCCGACTCTGGCACCCAGATAGGAAAGCTCCGGAAACAGGGCGCAAGTCACGGAGCTGCTGCACACCCACTTGCGCCCCAGCACCTCAAGCCCCCACCCCAACGCTGCGGCGCGACCCTTACCTGCGCTGGGGCCTCGCGGCACCGGGAGCGGGGCTCCGGCGCGGCTCTGCAAGCTATGCAGCACCGGGGTCTCAAAGGGTCCGGCAGGCCAGGCGGGCGTCAGCGGTGCTCCCACGTAGGGCGAGTAGGCGCTCGGGTGGTGGTGGTGATGGTGGTGGTACGTCCCGTTCAGCGGCCGCGCCGCCGACAGCGAGCTGTACTGGTGCTCGCGGCCGCCCATGGCCGCCAGGCTGCTGCTGCCGC